ACATTACACAAAGATGAGATAGAGAGTTGTGGAGAGAGAGAGGGAGTTATAACCTGAACTTGAACTTCATTTGAGCCAATGCATTTTGGTGATTGCACACTTAGTTGCAATGGCTTTTAAAAAAAAAAAAACACACATACTTTATACTTTTAATGACTCCCACTACATTGGCTTTACAAACGTTACAATTATTTAGATACCCAAATTATTTTCGCAGTAAGAGTTTAATCGGGCTTTAGTAAATGATTTGGAAAGTTTCACTTAACAGCAATTATAATTTCAGCATCACTACATTTGAGGTTTTTTTTCGGGGGGTTGATTTCTTTCATGAGTTATTACCCCATTGCATCCCCATTTCGCCACTGAACTGCATCTTTGGAGGTCTTGTTTATATGCAGAATGCACCTAAAAGACCCAGTCCCAGTCCCAGTTACTAATAATTAGATACTGCTTCAGTAAATCAGACGCTAATTTCATGCAGATTGTGAGCACAAATATGTACATAAATCTGGCCCCGAGTCTGGAACTGGGTTTTATGGGGATTAACAAACCAAAATGTGCTAGAAAATGTAGGGGAAATGCATTTTAGGAAGGGATCTGCTATACTACTACTACTGAGACTGTAGAGCATAATTGTATACAGCCAACAGTTATCTTACAATGGAACAAGCATACGTTTGTAGGTTTAATGGTAATGTGAAGTTGTCTTGTCTTGTCTAAAGCTATATTTATTGTAAAAATAAGAAAAACAATAGATCCAGATATGATCTGACTCCTCACTGAGCATCTTCTACAAAACGTTTTCAGGTTCAACAACACACTTCTCAGATACTACCATAACATCATTGTTGACGCAAGCACAAGCTGATCATATGGTGATGAAAAGGAACTGACTTGTTGCTGAATAGTTTCTGTAAAAATAAATTTTCACTTCAGCTAATCCCTCTCCAGAACACTCCAGTTGCATTTATTTCTGACCATTGTTTTGTTCTTTTCCACCAGCATCCAGAGATCTAATTGTATAATTCAATGTTCAGCTCGCTGCACTGAACACCCATCAATTGTCTACTGAGATCATTAGTGGTAAAATAGCAGATAATTATTGGGGGAAATGAAATAAAGTAGGAAAACAAATGAGCTCAATTTTAATGCGTAACAACAGCACTAGAAACAGCAGTATCAGATTGATCAGAGGTGGCCAACACAAATTCAGATACTTTTTAGAAACCCCTCACAAATATAAGAGCATTTATTTGTGCAACTATTAAGACTGTATGCTGTTGAGCTACACAGCTTTTTCCAGTCGCGCCACGTAAAGATATTTATGATTATCCTGATTGAAATAGTTTTTTTATTTTGCGTTTTTTATCGCAATATGCGATAATATCTTATATCGTCCCATCCCTAGCAATAATCCGACGAATGAAAAGTGGGTCGAAGACTCTTCTCAGTGACTAATGGTGTAGTCGACTATTATTATTAATTAACAGTAACAATAAAGTAAGTTGTGCTGCAGACGTTTGAGATAAGAGAGGTTTCAGTCAATGTTTTTCTCTCTGCAAGTTTCTGCATGGTCACCTTTGAAGTCTAAGGAATTCATTTTGCTGAGAGTGTCAACTCAGCACACAGTATTGAAGAATGAAGAAACTACAAATTTGCAGACAGTGTTTGCTATTTAAAGGACATATTTCAGATGATTTTTGAGATATTCTGGAGGAACAAGGCCCTCATAACTACAAACCTAATTTATGTTGTCATCTAGAGACACTATGGAGCTGCTTCATTGGCGATGAATGAAAGAATGAAATTGTGGACTGATAGATTTAAGCAATTACACCCACATGAGCTTTATTTAATATGAGTTGGGGCTAACATTGTTGAACCAAAAAATGTGCCTATATCCAAGGAAAATCACTCTTGGTTGTGTTACACTGTGCACAATGATGTCCTCTGATTCATTGTCACTGAAGCAGCTTGAGGGCCTCTGAATGCCAGCTCCCATTTGAGCACCGGGTCTGTTGTTTCTTGCTTTGACAGAGACATCATTTTCAAAAATCTGAATTATCTTAAGCAGAGAAAATACATTTTTTTTTTTTGGACAAGACTAATTTGCTGCTTGGAGGCAAATTTGTATAATTTAAGAAACGCGATTAAATGAGCACAAACAAAAGCTCTCTTCAGTCTATTGTACTGCAGTAAATCAGCTATTCTCTTACCTTTAAAATACATTTTCAAAGCGTGAACTCCTTTTTAGTGTTAGCAGGATACTAGAGAATTATGCCGCTGAACATTGTAGCATTATTAAAATCTTGCATTTTTCAGTTTCGTGGAAATATTGGCATAAATGCTAACAGAGTGGGAAACAGTCATCTCCTCTTGACATCTCTTTTGGAAGCTAATCACAGGAGTCAGCGGATATGATTTTAAGCACGAATGCAAATCCTGTAAGACAGCGGGAACACCCAGTGACCCGAAGTTTTCCAGCCACGTTGACCATTTTGGAAGCTGTGGCCCAGCACACTCTGGCTCCTATAGTTATGTTAGCTCTGATGCTAACTCCAGGGAAAGTTAGTGTAATCTTGTCCCATTGGTTGGAGATGACGCTAATTCCCTGGGACAGGAGTGTAGCAGTGTGTGATTTAGCGGCGTATGCTAAGTGCTGCTGGAGCTCCAGGCTAGTCTGTGGGCACCAGGGCAGAGAGAGCAAGCTGGGAAAGTACTGACTTGACTAACTGGCCTGATTAGACCGGGTGTGAGATGACATGGATCAGAATGATACAGTAACCCAGCTGGAAAGACAGATTGGCAGAATCAGAGAAAGGGAGTTTTAAGAAATTACATTCAGAGAAAATGAATAGATAAAGAAGATTATTAGACATGAATGCAAAGTGAAAAAAGGTCGAGAGGGGAAGATGAAGAGATATAGAGACAGTAGGTTAATTTTGTGGACGTGTTGTTTCCTCCTGGGGTGTTTTTCAGCTCTGCTGGACTGTGGTGGTGTAAGAAATTGGCTGAGATGCAACGTAGCATTCGCATCATAGTTTCATTAGCTCTCATTCAGCCCAAGGCATTTCACACTGCGTTTCCTCGACTCATCTGCTTCTCTTAGATCTGCTCACATTACAGGAAAAGGTAACACAGAGAAAGCTGAACCGGGAACGGGAGCTTAAACTTCTCTGTATTAGACTGGAACTTGGTTAGGATATAGAATTGAAATAAATCTCTTTTTTTTCATCTCTGTGAATGCTATTGATTGATTCAGACACTTTTGTGCCTTTAGCGTTTTGGAATGTTTCCCCTCGTAGGGCCCCGTGGCTGGGGTAAAATCAGATTACATTTATTTCAGGGTTATTTTATCCATTAATAGCTGGCACTTTACTTTGAACATTGCCTACAGGCATAGGTTTAGATCAAAGGCAAGACAGTGGAGAGAGATTAGCGGCATCTCATGAAGCCCTGCAAGTTTAACCCTGGTCTCCTCATGAAGTTTTGAATAGTGGAGGACAGAAAGAGAACAGTAAACTCCCAGCCCCCAGTTTGCGCTTATCACGATCATATCATAGTCTTTGGTTTTGCACTTGAGACTTGAACTAGTAATTACATTCCAGTCACATATCTGAGACCCACTGTTTTTTTTTATCAATGATAAATACAAGCCAGTCTTTCAGAAACCCAGTGGGCCGTTTAATAGCACTCACTGCGTTTTTGAAGACAAGGTAAGAATACAAAAGACTCTTATATGCTGGTGGTTATAAATGTATCCACAACACAAACAAATATGGCTAGAAGTCTTGTAGGACGCAGTGAATATATGAACATGTTAGCATACACACAAAAATATTCAATAGTAGCAGTAGTATTTTATATAAATGAAAATGATAGGGAGTTTTTGAAACAGATGAAGTTTCATCTTGTTATTTTTCTTACAGCTTAATACAAAGCTCTCATAAATGGTAAATAGACTGCATTTATATAGGGCTTTTCTAGTCTACCAGCCACTCAAAGCACATTACAATACCCTGTAGGCTATTTGTCCAGGGTTAATACTTTTTATAAGATTGAAGCAGTTCAAAAATAAGGACATTTTTCTTTTTACCATAAGCGTTTGAGAACATATAACCACCTGACAACATGGTAAAAAGAAGAATGACAGCATTTATATAGCGCTTTAAATCGATCTAAAACGCTTTGCAATTTGCCTCTCATTCACCCATTCACACACCGATGGCAGCAAGCTACTTGCTGGTGTTTCCATTAGGAGCAATTTGGGGTTCAGTATGTTGCTCAGGGACACTTTGACATGTGGGTCTGTATGTCTCACCTGTACCTGTAACAAGCTGCTGAAAGCAGGCAGAAAACTGTCAAGGAAAATAAATATTGTAACAACCATATAGCCTTGTAACATAAATTCAAGATTGAAACTGTCTGGTTTTATGAGGCAAACTATCTCAGTTTCTTTGAGACAATTCTCTGCGTAATGAGAGGATCCATGGGCGATTGGCCCCTGATGTGCCCCTGTTTGCTCCAGCATTGGCTTAATTTTGAAAGATGCACAATACAATAAAGTGAAATTGCTTCAGTCAGCTCTGTGTGTTGTGCCCATAGACTATTATAAAATAAATATGGACGGACAATTGCCCAACATTCTGTATGTGAAATGAAGCCATCGAGAGGCCAAAAGAGGGAGAACAGTCTGCACCATAGGCGTAGAGATTAGGGGGACTTGTACTTGTCCTCCTCAATAAATAACATTGTTGTCTGGCGCCTGAATTTTGTGTTCGCCTTTTCAAATAAAAGTCAGCCCAAAGCTTACATGCTGTTGGGTAGGTTTTGTGGTTGTTTACATGCATAAAAAGTCACCACAATGCAGGAAATGAAATGTCTAATACTCAAATCCCCAGTCCTCTGCCCACATAATAATGAGCCCCCACTCTGTAAAGTATCTATTCAGATCTGCCCGTGCTTTGGGTTCATTGTTGGTGTTTCTGTATGTGTTTTAGGGTATGATGGGTGTAGTGGGCTGGATGTTGCTGCTACTCTCCCAGATGATGGTGCCTGTGGCGTCTCAGAAGCCTCCAGGGCTCAGTGTGGGTGTGATCATGGGCCAGACACGCCATATTTCTGATCAGGATCTCCGTCCACCTCGGCGCCCTGACGATGCCCTCGACATCTCTGTGGTAATACTGAGGATCAACCAGACTGACCCAAAGTCTGTTATTACACAGGTGAGAAAAGCTGTGCACATTCACCGACATTACACACATGCTTTCTATCACACACACAGAATCTTGTTTGACACCTGAGTTTGTTTCACTGTGCCCCAAGGTGTGCGAGCTTCTGTCACGCACACGTCTCCACGGCATTGTGTTTGCCGATGGCACCGATCAGGAGGCCATTGCCCAGATCCTTGACTTCCTCTCTGTTCAGACGCAACTTCCAGTCCTGGGAGTCCACGGAGGCTCCTCTATGATTATGGCTGACAAGGTGAGTGACCGTGACACACACAAGCACGGACAGGTTCAAGCACACACACACAGACACACACAACACATACTCAACACATACTCCTACTTTTTTTTTTAATGCACCGTTTGTGTTTTGGAGATTAGAAAGCTGGAATCCCTCCTCTCAGCCCCTTTTAAATGTTAGGATAATGATTCATGCTTTTCAGCCTACATTTTTTTCAGATGTCCTGGCACGTTAGCTATTAGGTCAGACTTTCATTGACAGACTTGGTATTTAGAAAGTCGCTCCACCTGAAATGCACTTCACAATTCCACATAATCCACTTTGCTACAGCTTGAAAAATGACTCCATAAACCACACAAGATATATATATATATATGTATTTTAAAGTTCCAATTTTAGACAAATTATGGCCTCAGCTGGTGGTAATATGGAATATGTAATGATGATAAACCACAGCTTTTGATAAATGTTATATTTTGCTTCCTGTGAGTTGCTTTAAGCTCTTTGAAGTGGAAGTCTAAATGGATATTTTCAGGTTGTTTGAGTTAAGAATGGACATTGTTCTCTTACATCATATATAAACTGTCCGAAGTTGTTGTAGTCATCATGTTGTGGATTAGAAAATGACACACTAGGAGGTTTTTGAAGCTTGTTTGAGCTATTAGGGCTGCTCCGTCAAAGTATTTTTTAAGTTTAGTGTAGTATAAGTTTAGAGCAGAAACACTGCCGACACACTGCATAGATGGGTGGTATCACCCTAAGCTATTTTATGTTAATTAGCTTTTTAAAAGGTTATACAGTGCACATTAAAAAGTACAGGATTCATAAGGTCAGTAGAAGTTCTTGCTTAGAACTTGCAATATTTTATTCTGTCAAGGATTGTTTAGATATGTAATAATGTATTTTCTGCTTGGGCTAAAACTGGGCTATGCAAAGACAAAAGAAATGCTGGGCTGTATGCTGCTGTATCACATCTAGTGCTCAGTGGGATGTCAGAAAAATTGATTTCCAGTTTTTAAAAGAAAAAAGGGAAAGGATTCTTTAAGATTGGATTTTTGTTTTATTTTGGTGTGATGCAGTTGAAGTTACGGGTGTACATCTCTCTTCTTAGCTGAATTCTCTCTCTGGTACTGACTCTGTAGACCTCGCTGACTGACAGACAGACTGAAGAAGCTTTGATAAAAACACAACTGGTTCTTTAGCTTTCTTTTAAATCTCTCAGGGCACAGCAGCCAAAACACAGGAACCAATAACTGCAGCAGTACAGCCTTTTGAAGTACTAGTTGATGGGGGATGCAGTGTGTGTATGTATGTGTGTAAGAAAAGACAAGAAAGGAAAAACAGAAAGGTAAGAGAGAGTTAGACTTGGCTTAAAGGTTAGGGGAGAAATTGCAACATGAAGGTCACTTGCTTGAACCTCCCACTGAGTATATAATGACAGGAAAAATACATAAATTGTATTTTTCCCGCCTTCAATCGCTGTTGTTGATGTGCCATTAAACAAGGTACTTAACCCCCGACTGCTCTAATTGAACTGCTCAGTGGCCAAAAGTACAAGAGTGCAGCCATTGTTGGCAGCTCCCAGGTGTGAACATGAGTGTGTGTAGCCTTTAAGTAACCAGCCCCCCACAACTGTTCCCACAGGCCTGACCTGTAAATAAAAAAAGGCCTGGTTTGAATTAACAGCAAAAGCAGCCCACTGGCAGGCCGGTACAGAAGCTTAGTGAGTCAGCAAATTGTTGAAAAAGCATTGTCGGTAGGCTGGTATTTTATCTGAAGTTCTGATGCATGTGGTCGTTTTACCTGCACCTGCCAGAAGGACATTGTTCAAATGTGTGCCCTGGGTCTATATTTGAAGAATTCCTTGACTTATTTTTATGTAGTCATGATTAGGACTGGAACTAAGGATTATTGTAATTACCTGTTGATTATTTGTGGATAAATAAATGAATTGCTTAGTCTGTAAAATGATACAAAATGGTAAAAACTGCTCATAGAAGATAATATATGAGAAACACATTTATTTCTCTTAGCAGCAACACTAAGACATAATTTAAAATACTGCACAGGCTGCATTATAAACCATTATTAAGAGGCAAGGTGGGCTAAAACTCTATGTTTTAAAAATGAGGAAATTGTAGAGGAAAGTGAGGTGGTCACCTTGATTGGATATGATTGGAGTCATCACTGTGTATTATCAGCTAAGGTGGACAGTGCAAAAAACAAAATAAAACATAACAGTATTCATACATGACATTATTAATGGATTTATCAAGGTATGGGATGGAGCCAGTGGATCCCTCTGGGTTGGACTTCCTTTTGTGTAAGTTATCATAGAATGCAACCTTTTGTTGTTTCCTTTTGTTTTTTGGGGGTATGCAAGTGTTGCGTGTTGTGTCATATATGCTGTGTTTCTTTTGTTAACGTATTCTATATGTATTTCCCACTGGATGGGTATAAATGTTATCACTCAGTATCAGAGTATCAACAAAAAAAAAAGAAAAAAAAATTGCCCTTCACAATTTCCCAGATCCATAGGTGACATCTCAAAATTATTATTTTGTCTGACCCGCACTGCAAAATCCAAAGATATTACATTTGTAAGCAAATTAAACCAACATATTGTCTCTAGCAGTGGTTTGACACGGGTGAAAGGATTAATTGATTATCAGAATGGCAATTCTTTTTCTGTTGACTGACCAATGTTAAAATCAATAAAATCGATTCCGCTCCAGCCGTGATGATCTGCTGTAGCATGGTCCTGTCTTGCCTGGTGACAGAGCCAAACAAGACTATTATGGAGGTGATGAGGGCTCTCAGTGAGTTTGACACATGTTTTTGCGCTTGACACTCACACTGTGATGGTGATCTCATCACACTGGCCCTGCTCTAGCACTGTTCTCAGATAGATTAGCTCCTCTCAATGATTTCAGAATATGAAACACATGTAAATGCTATTGTGTGAATAGTTAGAATAAAAAGGACCATTGCCAACAAACATATTTTGCTATGGAAAAAAAAATCTGGCTCCATGTAATACTTCTTGGCTGTGCGTCTGTTGCTTTGATACCTGCTGTCAGTGGTGTAGTGGTAATCTGGAGGATTGAAAGAAATCCCAGTGGGCTAGTAACAATTCAGCCTGATTACTGTGGGCTAACAAACAGTATTGTGCTTTCTGCAGCCTGACCAGTCTTCGCATACACACACGTGTTCTGTTAATGTTGCAATCAAGCCTATAGTATAGGAGAAAAATGAGCGGCTCATCCCCCGTTACCTTGGTTATCCTGGCTCAGTCCAGTAGTAGTCTACCCATCATGCTTTAGATTAAAGCACAAAGCAGAAGGAAGAAGATGGTGCCAAGAAAATAAAGAAAAAAAACTTCAGCAGGCAGGCAAGTGCTCTAAAATAATGGATATACGTGGAGGTGGGCAGTGCAAGTGTGAAATACATGGTGTTAAAGCAGTGTTAAGCTGCCAAAATGCAAACTTAACTGTCATGATTATGTCACATTTCAAGTAAAGCCTTTCTCCAGTTGTCATTGTTATCAGTAGCTGGCCACATAGCCATCACACTCTATCACATAAACAGGAGCAGGCATTGCAGGCATCCCTGAAAACTGTGATAAACAAGATTACGGAGACCAGTTGCTGCAACGACTCCTCAGGTTTTAAGAAGGACAGTTTTTATTTGTCAGGATTTTCTTCAGTTTACAGACAATGAGACTTCTGAACTCAGTTAAAATATGTTTTTCCAAGAAACTAGTTGCTTTTTAGTCGGGGATAAATGTGTTCATTTCAAATCAAACACAGGGTTTTGTTGTTTAGTCTTGTGTGGTTTGGTTGCAATTAACAGGGCAGGATTTGGCCTTTTTTCCTTGCCCTAGTCCACCTTTTGCTATTTGGTCCACTTCAGACAGTTAAGTCTAATCCTTTCTCCACCTTTTCAACACCACCAATATTAGTGGTTTTGTAATACTGGAAAAAAGAAAAAAGTGTAATATCTCTATATGTTTGTAATTGAAGTGCATTGTATAAGGAAAAGCTTCATGCCTAGGGGATCCTTCAGCAGTTGCCCCAATACAGTCTTCTCCATCACCACATTACATGATTTGTCCACACTATTATTCATCTCCTGGGCTGAAAGCCGTTGCCCAAAACTTCAGTTCACATGTAGTAGACTCCAGACCCCCATATAAACAGCTTTCACAGATGTTTAGCATGAACAGTCTTGGAGAAAAAAACAACTTTCTTTTGAGCTTGGTCTGCAGTCAACATGCATGCACATTCACATATAGGTAGTAGGAATACATTAACAAACCAATGTACGAATAAAAGAAAGAATAAGCGTATAAATAAAGACCTACAGGCATCAGTGGGCTTTGTTTATTGTACGTGGTTTAAAATGAAACATTGATCTACTGGCCAGGGACGAACCCTGGAACCCTTAATATCGTTTTCACATTCCAGTGTTTGTTTTTGCCTACACTGTACTTCTCCCTGTACCTCTGCCAGAATCGACAATGTTCAAAATAAGTTCCACCCCAATTGGATCAGCCCTAACAAATGAAAGAATCATCCATTTTTGTATGCCAAACTCATTTTTTTCCCTAAATGAAAACAAATGGATCAATGTCAGAACAGATCCAACCTCTCTCCCTTTCCCTCTCCCTCGCCTTCACTCATTCCCGGTCTCTGCCTCCTCCTCATCATCCCCCGATAATGCATGTCAGCGTGGAACAGTCAGCCATAATCTACAGGAAGTTGGATGATGTGCAGTGAGAAAGGAGACACGTTTGAGGAACATGGAATTGATGGGGAGAAAGGGCATGTGTATGCCCAGGAGAGGAATGGGATTATTTTGGAATGTTGTACTTCCATTACAGAGGGGCCGCTTTGGGAAATAAGAAATATTGTTGGCTTTACCTCACCCCCATATGTGTTCACTCGTTCTCCGCCAACCTTGTTCATCTCTACTTTTGACTTCCTACTTCTCGGTGTGTGGGGGATAGAGGATGG